AGACCAAGACGTAGCATAGGAAGTGTAAAGCTAGACTAGCGTTAGTAGCCCTTTCGGCTCGGCCGCCGGGCGTAAATAAATTGTGTGTGTGTAGAAGTATGTACACTCTCATGGACATGCAACTTCTGCTTTACGCACATAGCCCAACTGTCATCCCACGTAGAACAGGAGCCCGCCCGGCACACGCTTGCGCAAAAAGAGTTAACCCATTCAAATATTATCAGCTGATTGGCCTGAGAATTTGAAAGAAGACGCATTGCTGACAGGAATCAATACTATTTGGGCAAGGTTACCACTAAGCAATAGGGGCTTAGCGTAGAATCACAGGCCGCCTGCGTACAGAAGCCGGAAGCTGCAACTGCATGAGAGTGTACTTTGGCTGTCGTTGTATTTCTCAATTTAGGTCACTCTATAAACAATTTTATCAATTATCGCATTGTACAATTGATCACGTGGTCCGTGAATGTGTAGACGAATCAAGGTTTTTTCCTATTATAGCTGACGTCTGGAGGGGACGGTCAAGGTGGGTCCACTGCACCATGCGGCCCCATCCTCCAGTCACACTACTGTGCGCCATCACGAGTGGTTTTGCGCGTCCCGTTTCACAAACTAAGGCAAAGTAAGGATAGCTATTTAAAAAACTTCTACAGTACTGCGATGATCCTGAAATAGTTCCGGAATCCTTTTCTCTTACTGAGCTTTCTAGACGACTTAAGCTCTTGATTGGGACCCATTTCTTTTACACCCTCTAGAGAACTGGGTACACAAAATCCTATAAAACGGACAAGAGTATATAAGATATCAATTTCGAAGTCTACTGCACTGTTCTATTATTGTAGTGCGCTTTGTCTGTATCGTCCCGTTAGTCGAACCAAGCACACAAGTTTGCTATCAGACACATTAGAGACCGACGCCGGAATGCGAAAAACGGCAGAACCAGCGAGTAAAAAAAGTAGAATGAGTGGTTTTAAGGTCACATGTTGTCAAGCAAGTGCTCAGGTCAAGCCATCCACATCCCCAATTTCTGAAGATCTGGGTGGACATTCTCAAGATGAGCTTGCTTTTTTACCTCCCCTACCGCCATCTCCAGTCCTTGAAATACCAAAAGTTGAGCCTCCTGCGAGGAATACCTGCAGCGATCGAAAAAATGAAGAAAAAACGAATGAGCTTTGATAAACACGACAATACCGCTGTTTGACTAAAGGTTACCTGTGTATATACTGGGTGCGCTGATCCTAACATAGAAGCAGCAGGCGCATGATAATGAATGTTTCTTGAGAACAATACAGATGCCCAAGCAGGGCAAGTTGTGTTCAAACTGGATTTCATTTATTGCTCGTATTGATAATCCCAAGGGTTTTCAAGATTCTCGGCTCTGCATTGAGTATCCATCATTTGGCACCAAGATCTGTTTGTGTAAATAGTTGGAAATTCAAAAACATCTAGTTTAATGTCCATCCCTGCGTGCCGGGACACCCGGCGTAACGGGACACCTTTTCTCCCGGGCGCCCGGCATGCTCGCACAGTATTAGCAAGCCGACCAGTCTAGCGTGCATCTATTCTTCAGCTTTCGTTCTTCCACTGCATCCCCCTCCGGCGCCAAAAAACGTATTACCCACTATGCTGTGGTTCCTTTTGCTAGTTCTGTTAATCAACCCTCTTTAAGAACCACCCTGCTTATCTATAGCATCGTTATGTTATAAGGAGCTCGGTAGGTTATAAAGCTAGCTAAGAGGGTAAGAATCTAGACTCTATCTATAAAATGTTAGTTTTGGGTATAGAGCGTGCAGTGTGGCAGCTTTTCCGCGCGGACAGCACGATTGATTGATTGATTGATTGATTTAGTCGATTGATTGATTGATTGATTTAGTCCTACTCGGTTTCAGCCGCGTTTTCACCGCAGCTATGCCCGGCATGGCTGG